TATTTGTTTGTCAAATTTAAAATTGGTTAAGAGTAGTTAGCAGCATTGCGTTGCAGCAAGAGGGTCCTGGGTTTGAGTTCACCAGGCTAACTGACTGGAAGAAAAACAACAACAACAACAACAACAGTCCCCCAACATAGATCCTTGTGGAACTCCAGATGTTATAACTGCAGATACAGAGAAGTATTTCACAATCTAACTAGTATTTCATACCAAACCACTGATACACATCTATCCAAACAATCAGGGGGTAAATCATAAGCATTTCAACTTTACTGTCAGTATTTGGATTTTATATAGACTGTATTATTAGTATTTCATCTGCAATAGTATTTTCACTTCATTTTGAAATATTCTGGAAAAAAAACCTTCCAATATTATTTTCACAGTGTTACTTATGAAGCATTTTTTCAGTTACAGAAAAAAATGCCAGACAGAGTTAAGTTAAAAATGTAAGTTATTATTTTAAAAGTTCAACTTTGAGTCAGTTAGTTGAAATTTTGACGAACCTCTGTCTGGCATGTTTTTTTCAGTGGCAGAAACAAACGTATTTCATAGCCCTCGTATTCTTTTACAATAAAGAGTGTATGCGTGTTTCGGCGGTGCCTTGCGTATTTCCGAGGGAGCCTGAAAGCAACTGCAGTTAGTGGCCGCGGCGCTGTGAGCTGATCTTTGTGCGAACGAAGCAGCGCAGCAGTCGTAGTTAGCAACCGACAGCAAACACACTCGGAGACGGCGGCGGGACACCGATTTTGGGACTGAAAAACAACTCATCCGGCGATTACAAAGTGACTGGGACTGCCTTAAAATGGTAAGGTGACATTTTCGAGCTGGGCCGGGGGAGATTTTTTTCCTCCCAGCTTGCTAAGCGGAGAGCCAGCAGGCTAATGCTAGGCGGTTAGCGAACTGTTTTCCTGACTCATTATTGAGAAGCTCGAGGAGCTAGGCTGCCATTTTACACCAGGCTGTTAGTCTGTCCTGGCCTCTGCCTTTGACTGTGAGAAGACAGCCTTTATGTTGAATACAGTCCCAGTACCACACATGTGTGTAAGCGATTGATAAGTGTGGGTCACATAGAGGCTGTGTTTTGATTTGAAGCTGGTCCATCCATCGTTCGGGCAGCAGACGAAGCTACCAGGCTAATCGAGCCTCAGAGGCTAATGGGAGCTAGCAGTATTGCGTAGCAGCGCCTGACTCCATTCCGGGGAATAATCACAGCGAATATTTTCCAAATGAACAGACGCCGGGGATCATTATATTCAAAATATACCCAAGTATCCGTTGGGGGTAGGTTTTTTTTTTTTCGAGCACAGCCCCGTGGACCGTGCGGTGCGGTTTGGTCATTCGAACAGGACACACTCCTGGAACAACTGGTGGAGCGGAGCAGCGATACGGTCGCTCATTTCCTGAGATATTAGGAGAAGCTCGGAGTCAGAGGTAGTGCTGACACTGAGCTGCCAGAGCGAAGCAGCTGCTGGAAAAGGTCTGTTTTCATACTAATCGAGATTCCTGGATATGCGTCCTCACAGTTCTCCTTAATTTAAACAGTGCACTTATTTTAGACACTGATCATTAAAACGAGATATTAAGAGTCGATGGCAGTTGTACCGGATTCTAACTCTTTAGTTTAGTTCACTTATTATTGCTTCCCTTTTATGGAGTCCTAGAATTTGTCAGGATCCAGGACAATATACAGCACGAGTCTGAGTTACACCTCACTCCTTTGTGTTTCTGGAGTAATGGGAAATGTGTGCAGCGAATTATTCAAAATAAAAATCTAAATAAGGCAAAATCCGAGTTTTTACAAGTCTAAGGAGTTTGAATCATGTTATCTGAGCACTTTTTTAAAAAGTCCTCCAGGCTTCAGACATTCAGAGCTTTTCTTTGGATGTTTGTCTTTTGTTCTGGTCCATCAACATGATCCCACAGTGCTTCAATGCCTCTGTGGAGGTCAGTCCACAACTGATAGTCGTCAGATGTCTGTTTTTCTATTCATATGTCTTTGTTACATGGACAGTGTGTGTGGGCTCATTGCTTTCATGAGTAACTGTGGGATTGCACGGTGACTTGTAATCTAAACGTCTGTTTATAATTCTGTTTTAAGGTTTCGGAATAGACTCAAGTTATGGTGAAGTCTAAGTTTTAAACTTTGTTCCATAAATCTGCGTCTTCGGCAGTATGTAATTGTGAAATAATTGACTAAAATTGTGTAATCAGAATCACCTTATTACTTTGAGTTTGTCTTTATATTGATTTTAAAGCTGACCCCCCCACGCAGTTTGAAAATGCTGCGGTTCAGAGGAGTTTTAAAGACAGACGTTTCTTCCCTGGGTTAATGGCCTGCTAGTTTTCTTTATCAGGCTTTTATTTTGAAGAATAGTGTTGATTATTGTATTTTGATGTACACTTTTGTCCTCATAAGTGAGGCGTCACCTAATCTTATTAAAAAAGAAAACTGATTATTAGACCAACAGGTGACAAAAGGCCTTTATTATATTGGGCTAAAGACATTAAAGCTTTTTACCATCTTCAGAGTCTAAACACAGTTATATTTCCGCTGTTGTTGAACCTGTCACTGTCCTGCTGTTTTTACTGACCCTTTTGCTTAAAGCTGAAATGTGTCTGATAGTTCAGGTCATCTTGTTTCTAACGCTGTTTCTTCAGCACGTGCAGGTTCAACGAAACTTGATGGCCTGAGTTTAAAAATGACGTCGAGCACACTGATTGGCTGGCTCCTTGCAGCTGACTTCACCTGTGAATCAAACCTTTGCTTGATTTGCTTTTCATGCTGTTTCAGCCGGTTTACCATGAAATGAAGTGTTTGAGGTACTGAAATAAGGAAATGTGTATTAGAGAAGGCGAAGAGTTTGTTTCACATTTGTGACTGTAGATCTGCATGAACTGTAAACCGGAGCAGGGCTCACTTTTATAAGAGCAGCCTGAAAAGTCTTGTTACATCGCTGAAGGTGGTGCTAAAGTTTAATTCTGTAAGTTTGTGTTGAATCTAAGAGCTATGGCCTCGCCTCTGCAAGTGCCTGACGACGACGTCAGCATTTATTCACTTGTGTCCTGCTCTGCCGTTTTGATGGCGGTGGGCTTTTTCTCTCTGATCCATCGGTCTCTCAGAGACGTGGGGTTTCAGAAGGGTTAAAATGAACGCAGACGTACATTAAAGAACAAGGTTTGACTTGAAACTGATCACAATCTAAACCTTTACAGGTGTTACCTGATCAGCAAGCTTGAACATGAAGAAAAGTGTTTTTCTTCCTCAGCTGTTCCCATCCACTGCTGTTTGTTTTACAGTGACAAAGCTGTGGGATTGGAAAGGAAGATGAAATGAAATCTGCCCGTAAACAGACAGACGTCTTGTTTGGCTTCCGTCTGTAAATTTGGCAGATTTACCTCCAAAACACACCAGGTGTGTGTCTTTGGTGTCATGACTGATGCAGTTTTGTTCCAGCTTTGTAATCATGTTCCAGGTGTTTCAGAAGAACTTAGTCTGCTTGGGGTCTTTTATTTTGAAAATTGAGCTCATTCTCTCTGCTGATTCTGCGTCTGACTTCCTGTCCTCTTCCTCGACTCCGTGGAGCTCAACACAGATTCCTCAAAAGAAGCAATAAGCTGGGCTCAGTTTTAAGCAACGTGAAGCCTCGGCTCTCTATTTCTAGCAGCTTACAAGGGCGAGTGGAAAAGGTGCTAAACTACATTTATCTTAAAGCTTTAGTAGCTAATTAGTTTTTATTTATATTAGTCATCAAAATCTACTAATACACTGTTTTGTAGATGGAGCCAGCTAAGAGTGTATGGTGTAATGGAAAAATGGTCCCGTGAAACATGTTCTGGAAATATGGAAAATGTAATGCTGCACACTGATGAATAACTTAACAAGTGCTGAATATTGATGCTGACCTTGACCTGCAGACCTGCTGTGCTGAGAGTGAACACACAGGAAGAACTCGGGGCAGCATAAAGGGTGTAGTGTAGGTTCGTATAGTAACCACGATGAAATGGCTGCACACCCATCCTTCCTCACTTGCGTGGTTATTTGGTGGATTTGCCACAGGGCAAAACACAACAAAGAAAATGCTCGGTCATATTTTGAGCTCGGTCAGCCTCTTTGTAGCTTGAAATAACCGCAAAATGCAGCCTGTGTGCCTTCCTCCTGACACGTTTATCGATGCCGTGGAGCTGTTTGTGGCACTTGGATATCCCTCGATCTGTGGCTTTCAGGCTTATGTTGCTTTTCCGTGTGTAGCATGATGGGAAATATGCATGTAAAGTGATTTATTTTTTCTTCTGGCTGCCCTCTGCTCCTCATGATGGGCTCTTTCACAACAGCTCACTGCCTCATGCTGAGTTCAGATGTCTCATCCATTCTCTGCTCAGCATGGACGCCTGAAATCTGCCTGTTAAAGATGACTTGTGATCTCTGTGGACATGACGCGGTCTGTAAACAGGACGGTGTCATTAGGAATACTTGGAAATGGCTAATAAAGAGATTTAAAGGTGGGAAAGGGAAACGTGTACTTATTTCTCATGTTTGGTTAAATTTACTGAACCTACTATTTGTTCACATTAATATCAGTGTTGGAAATCTACAGCATATAGTTTTACTTGACGTGAACATACACAGATATGAGTGTACCAGCCTGATATCAGTGTTTTTCTACATACTTCAAAGGATATTAATATAAAGTTTCATGAGCTCAAACTGAGAGGAGCTGACATAAGTGAACTGAGCATAGATTTAATAAAGGCCATAATCAGTCTGGTTAGGTTGGTGTCAGCGTAGAGGCTGATCCAGGCTGTGCATCAGTGCATAGAGCACAAAGGAACAAATGTTTCCGTTATTGGCTGATGTGCTGATTATTTCCTAAATTAGTCTGATTCATAATGTCTGTAAAATGTCCTTGATGATAATAATAACCAGAAGAGATGGAAATACCTTTTGTCTATAATAAACCTCACACTGCATCACTGACAGGAATCGGTGATAGTTTCTGTCCAGGTCTGCGACACAGTTCAGTCAGTGTCACCAAACTATACATAGATCTGTATTGAGCGCA